CGTATGCAACTAGCCTCCCCACGTCAAAAAGTGATCAATTCATGCGGGTACAAGGAAAATAATATCTTATACACCACATGTTTAATCTTCGCAATGACCTCATCTTCGGTCACTATGCTTTCATCAAATCTACATGCATTTCTCGCCCGCCATATGTGATATGCCGCTGCACAGAATGCAAGTCGAGTAGCCTTCGCCTTCAAGGTTGAGCCTTTGCACTTCTTGAGAATCCATTTGACCGAGCTTTGCAGTGTGGTCATTTGGTTGTCCATGCCCATCCACTCCCTTATCTTTCCCCATATCCTGCAAGTGAAAGGACAAAGAAAAAAGAGGTGTGGCATTGTCTCCAAGTCACCCTTACAAAGGTCACACCTGTTAACAATATGCATATATCCGAGGCTATCTTGCGTAGGTAGCCTATTTCTAAAAGCAAGCCATGCCATGAATGAGAACTTGGGAGGAATATATGATTTCCAAATAAAACTCATCCATACCCGGACCGACCCCTTAGTTCTCAAAAGTTCATAAATCTTGCTTGAAATTAATTTTCCATTACTGGATCTAGAAGCTAAACCCATTATGGTGTCATTTTGATTATTAAAACAACCTTTAATCTTGTCCCTAATCAAGGCCAAATTTTTCATAAAAGTCGAATCTCGGCTATGTGGGATAAATTCCCACACATTTTTACCCTTGAGATATACGCCATTTACCCATTTAACCCAGAGAGTGTCCTTTTTAAGATGGACGTCCCAAAGAGTACGGGAAAGAAGGGCTTGGTTCCAAATTTTAGCATTACGTATACCAAGTCCTCCTTCCTCTTTAGGAAGGCATATGTCGTCCCATGCCACCTTGGCGAATTTTCCTCCCCAAAGAAAAATCCTAGCCATGGACACAATACGATCCAAAATAGTCCGCGGCACGGGAAAAATTTGCAACCAAAAAGATTGGACCCCTTGGATCACCGATCTTATTAGTTCAATCTTCCCGGCATACGAAATAGTTTTCGTACTCCAAGCATTTAAAAATTTAGAAATTGTGTTTAGCAAAGGGGCATACTGTGCCATTGAGACTCTTAAAGGGGCAAGGGGAATTCCAAGGTACTTAACCGGAAACTCGCCTTGCCCAAAGTCAACTAACTCCAAAATGGTTTGGAGTTCAACTTCATTAACCCCACCTACGAAGATATTTGACTTATTGTGGTTCACCCTTAGACCCGAGGCATCTCCAAACTCTTTAAGGGCATTAACCAGTACTTCAATGGAGTACCTGTCAGCCCTAGAAAAGAGCATTAAGTCATCTGCGTAGGCCAAGTGTGAAATTTTAAGAGTCGCACACTTCCGGTGAAAGTTGAAATTTGGTCCCTTAGTTTTCCGGTTAAGTAATCGGGACAAGTACTCTAGACAAAGTACAAAAAGAAGGGGGACATTGGATCTCCCTGGCAGATACCCCTTTTCCCTTCAAAAAAACCATAGAGTGACCCATTTAAAGAAACAGAAAATGAGGCCGAAGTAACACATTCCATTATCCATCCAACGAATCTCAAAGGGAAGCCCATACCCTTTAGGACCGAATCAAGGAAGTCCCAAGAGATGGTGTCATAAGCCTTACGCAAATCCACTTTGATCATACATCTTGGTGAAATTCGCTTCCTCATGTATCCTCTAACAAGTTCCTGGGCGAGGAAAATGTTATCTACCATGAGGCGGCCATCAACAAAAGCACCTTGGGCATGATCAATTAAACCCGGAAGGCACGGGATTAATCTAGCCGCAATGACTTTCGTGATTACCTTATACAACACATTTGTACAAGAAATGGGTCTATAATCCGAGACCTTAGGAGAGTGATTCGTTTTTGGGATAAGTGCTATGACAGTGTGATTAATCTGCTTTAGCAATTTTCCCGAACGAAAAAACTCCTTAACAGCTCGGACTATATCATTTCCAACAATATTCCAATTTGCCTTAAAGAAGGCAGATGAGTACCCATCAGGCCCCGGAGCCTTATCATTGCCAATGTCGAATAGGGCATTTTTAATGTCCATCGATGTAACCGGGGCAATGAGCCTTTCGTGGGCGCTAGGCTCAATTAATGGACCCGAGGGTAGAACCGAGGGGTCCAAGGCGTGACACTCAGAGTTAGTACCAAATAAATCAATAAAGAAGTTTACAAATTCATTCCCCACTTGATCCAAAGAGGTAGTACACGTACCATCCTCCAGGGTGAGTGATGCGATGGTATTCCTCGCCAAATTCCTTTTAACGATTGCATGGAAGTATTTGGTGCATTTGTCCGCTTCTAGAATATGTGTGGCCTTAGCCCTTTGTTGGAAGAAGGCTGCCTCGGCCTCACCAAGAAAAATGGCCCTCTTTGAAGCTTCAGACAGTTGGGCCTTTAGTTCTTGATTCCCCGGATCTTGAAGTGCCATTTTATGCAATCGTTTAAACTCCTCTTTTGCCATTTTTGCCTTATTGGCAATGTGGCCAAATTCCGAGTTATTAAGAACCTTTAGGGGCCTTTTAAGGTCTTTTAGTTTCTTTATTAACTTGAATTGAGCCGTCCCCACACAAGTATGATTCCAATGCATTTCAAGAATATTGGCAAATTCCGGATGTTTTAGCCACATATTGAAGAATTTAAATGGCTTGGGTCTAGGAGAGGAGTTTAGGAGTATTGACACAACGGATGCCGTATGATCAAACTCAACCTCCATTTCGTGGAAATGGACCCTACAGCCAATGCCATTAATTCCCCACCCTTCATTTATTAGAACTCGGTCTAATTTAGCCCAAAGTGTACCTCTATTCCATGTAAAGAACTCCCCCGTAGATGGTGCATCTTCGAGGTTATTCACTACTTTAAAGTCAAATAGATGTTGCATAGCATAGGCCGTAGGGGGGGTAGGGGTTACCCTTTCATTGGGTGCCGCTATGCAATTAAAATCTCCACAAACCATCCATGGATCAACCAATTGGTCACCCACCGAGGTTAAATGTTCCCACAAGGCCTTTCTTTCAAGAACTGTATAGAGTGGATAGACAAATGTAGCATAAAAAGATGTTTGTGTAACACGACAAATACATCTAGTATGGACGAATTGTCTATCAAGTTCCAAGGCCAAACAATCTATGAGATTGGGGTTCCACATAATTGCTATTCGCCCTCCACTTATTAAATCAAAATTATTTATAAACATCCAACCCGACCATCTATTTAACACATAGTTATTTAATGCGGCCAAGTTCATTTTAGTTTCTAAAAAACACACTAGACAGTTTTCCCTTTCTAATTTGACTAGGAGTCGTATAAGGAATGAAATAGAAATAGTAGAATACTCCTAAAAATATGATAATTGCTTGCCTCGCCTTCTCGTCCTGCGCGACAAGCGATGTCCTCGGTCGAGACACCGGAAGTTAGGAAAATCACATCAAAAAGCTCCGACGGAGAGTTTTGAAGTGAAAGAGATAAAGCACATGACAGAGGTCGAGACGGCGGCGCAAGAGTCGCAGGCGATAAACACTTGAGAGAGGACGGTTGAACAAACAACTGCGCCCCTTCAGAGTGCCAATGTTACCACGGAGATACTCTCAAATCAAAGGTTATAGAATACTGCCGGAAGCAGGTTGATGTAGCCAACCTGTTCACTATATTGTACAATGAATTATGTAAAAAAATATTTCACAAGCAGCTCATTTCTTAGCTCTTTTCATTTCGCATTACTTTGCTCTACCTTACTTTTATCTGACTGAACTCGCATTATTTATACTATTTTTCTAACAGTAGCCTCTATTTGTACTAATCTGAATTCATTCTAATCTGGAGATCAGTTTTAATTTTTACAAACTTCTCTAAACTGTTCCACAAATCGCCACAAGAATTCCGATGACGTATTCCAAACTTATTTAAAGCACTTTACTTCTAATGCGATAATCAAGATGCAGAAACTTTAACATTGACCTGAATTGTGTTCTCTCAATACTCAATAGCATGAAAGCTTTTGACTTACATACCAGTGTGTAATATATCAGTCTTCAAACTACCTGAATAAAGAACCTTTTGGATCTGACATGACAGACTGTGGTTTTTTTGTCACCACTTCACCCAATGTATTTTATTACAGTACTAGATTTCATTCTATTTCAATCAAGCAGTGTTTTTTTTTTTGCTTTTGCTCACACTTTTATCTCAAAACAAAAACTTAAGCAAACATCTTTTTATAGACTCATGATATCACCCAATATATTTGCCTCTTATGATTGTATGTGTATGTCATATTACTGATATATCATTATTCACCAATCAACACCCAAAAGTGATGGACTGGACACCTGACAGATGCATTCTCAATTCAGTTAAGATGTGATCTTTGAACTTATTTTACTCGTCATTCTAAAGTAACACCTCTATTCGAAATAGAGGTAGCAACAGATGAGATGACTTTTTTTGGCGAACAATTTTATCTGATGTAACTTGCCAGCTCTGTTAGCTGTGGCATGTGGACAAGAATGCATGTTAATTGAGGAGTACTTTGGGTCTCATGGGGAGCCTTCTTCTAAGTTCTTTCTATAGTATTAATATTTATCTTTCTATTAGTATGGTCTCTAATTTTTGAGTGCATCATGATTGATGCTAAATTACAAAGCATGTCATCATTTGCAGGACTGGTCCTGGAGTGTTATTCATGCACTCAGCTGACCTTTACCCTTTGCAAAAAAGATTTGTTAGCTGTCACATTATGTTCATAGCTTCTTCTAAAAGGGCTCCCTAAATTTATCATTGCCATGCATCCCTTGTAATACCATATCGTTTAGCACGCAAGAGGATTTGATGTGGTAATGCGTTTGCTAGCACTGTTAGCTGTTTCACTCAATTGCTCGATTCACAATAGAAAGTGAATAAAATTGACCAATTGATTACCAAAAAAACTAAATAGAATTAAACAGTGTTAAGACACTCCAATCATTTTATTATACGGAGTAATAACTAGACAAAATAACTTGGTAAATTTGCATGTGCATAAACTTTAAAGAGACACCACAATACATTATGTCAAGTCATTCTGACCTCAGTAAAGTAACAATGTATATACTAGCATCCATGTGAGATGCTTCCTTCTGAGTCTAATCATTTATGTACTTCTGTGTGCTTCTAGTTTTTCTTGGCTTTAGTGTAACTAAGCACAATCTCTTTGATACTCAAGTCTTAAAAACAAAAGTGACTGTTTAATTTGCTGGATTTTATTTTCATAGTGATTAGCTATAAACCTGAGTATGATCTGTACATGTTGCAACAATGATTTATTCATCCATCAATCTGTCCCCTGTGTGACTCTTTCCCTGTGTGTTACTATGTGCTGACAACTATTGGACTTCGAACTGCGTACTTCCCACTTTTCCAGGTAATGAAACTAAAGATGTCTTTCTTTGGTGTCGACTTAGCTGTGATAGTCACTTTGTAAGTTACCTTCTTTATGCCTCTAGTAAACACTAACTTTTTAGGGGATACTGTGACGTCCATGCCCCTATCTGCTGTGATAGTTGCAGTGTACACTGAATTTTCATCACCAACATTAGTTACTTTTCTGGTTACTATCTTAGTTTCACCTTGGTTGAGCTTTGAGATGGCTATTGAAGGATAGTTGAGGTTAGAGATTGAATCTGGAGACAAATCATGGGGGCACTCAAAGTCTTTTCTAATTGTTGATGAGATGAGCCTAATTTGGGATGTGTTATAGCCCGTAGCACATAAGAATAGCACATAATCTTCGATCTCTGTCTCGTAAACCAGCCCGGGGTCTAATGCCAATGTGGGGTTGACTTGTCCTGCCCCGAAGTCATACGGCGTTGCAATTGATCCGGATGAAGTTCTTATTGGTCCATTCTGGTTGTTTGTCTGTGTGGCTGGCCATAGCAAATTCCAAATTATGAGGTTAGTAATTAATAAAAATGCATTATATCTGAAAGGATTAACCCCATAGAAAGAGTGTCTCCGGTGAGACAAGTACCTCAATCGACCTCTCATCCTAAATGAGGTTGGACAACCTGAGGGCGGATAAATATGTCACATGGACATTAAACACTATCCCAAATCACTGATGCCACACAAACAATCAAACTATAACCAAATTTGTGTTCAATATCATATTAGTATTTGAGGTTCCACTTTAAAAGCTCAATTTGATAAGAGAAAATGAGAAATAGCCAAAATCTTATACTACATATTTTACTTTATTGCCTGTATACCAAAATCTTATACAAAATTTTAAAACTATCAGAGTATCAGAGCAATTTGTCCATGGAATATGTACAAATGAGATGTTTGGTCACCTGTGGTCATAATAGCTGATCTAATTGCTGATGCACTAAATGCAGGGTTATGAGCCTTAACCACAGCCGCAACTCCTGATATATGTGGGCAGGACATAGACGTGCCTGATTCTAGATTGTAACCTGTTTTTTTGCCCGGAATCATGGACCCATCTGTTTTGTCATCATCAGGCCAAGCTGCTAGAATGTTAACCCCAGGTGCAGTAATATCTGGCTGCAAATCCCAAAGCAAATTCATCCATTTGTTATCTCATTTTTTGATTTGTTTATTTTGAATTGGTGATGCATTTATATTTTTCCCATAGTAAAAATTAGATCTATTCTAGAATATTCCACGATAAGTAGTTCCTGTATAGAGTCTAGAAAAATATGCAACTATTGAATGTTCTAGATCTCTAATAAAGTAAAAATTGTGTGGTTGATTTTTATGGAGAGGAGAGAAAAATAATAGGAACCACAAAGTAATTGGTTAAAAAGAAAGTGTCAAAGTTTTTGGAACAATCAAAAAAGGAAATATGACAAAGTTATAAGAGACATATGGAATAATATTTAATAAGATAATCAATTAATAGGGCTCTCGTCAACCATTTGTACAAGTAAAAGCCTGTTGGTAACACTAAAATTCTAAAAATGACCGAATTGACTGAATCTGCTTAAAATGATGAAATAATGGCTGAAACGTAGGTCTGAAATGGCTAATTCTACTGAATTATTAATAAATTATACATAAAATTAATGCTATTAATAAAATAAAGAAAAATTATACGTAATATAACGTAACTAAATAGTCATCATTATCCAATTCTGCTAGAAAAGTATCTCCAACGTTACTTATTTTGATTATTAAACAATTCAACACGCAAAATCGAAAGCTATACGTTTGGCAGAACAATTGGTTGATAAGGATGATAAGCCGAAAATAGAGATTACCAAATGGGCTCTAACTAAATTTAATGCATTTTAAGTTCTTTAAATATTAGAGCTCCATCTTAAATATCTCAATTGACTCTACACGACGCCTACCAAAACACTACACATTCAAATTGCCAACAATCACTTCTATTTTCTAACTTAACCATAAAGGAGAGTATCATAGAGAAGAAAATGTATCATGCCTTGAGAAGATTTAGGCTAGTAAGCGAAGGGCCTCTTGATGAAAAAAAGATTACTGCTGGAGCTGGTTCCTGTCCTATTGTTGTGACAGTTGGGAGGATTGTCGCCACTGGGTGTCTTCATCGTGAAAAATTCACATCACAGATTCACAAGTAAATGAATTTACTACCATTCCAAATTGATTTGCAAAATCAACTTTTTTGGGTCAAACCTTTTCATTTCATTCACTTATTTAGGAAGTCAATTTTTAATTATATTCTAATTTGAACTTTGCTACTTTATAAAGATTTAATGTAGTTAATGAATATATAAATTGTATATATTAAAATTGAATTGATTATCATCAATAGGGATAATTTAACTTTAATATTAGTTGTCCAGAAAATGTTGATTTTGCAAATCAATTCGGGTTGGAGGAAGTAATATTATTCGTGAGAAGAATCGATTGATATATTAATTACCTGGCTGAGCTAATATAAGAGAGTATTTTGTTGCCTTCCTTTTGTGTAACCATAGACGCCGGGAAAGTATCAAATTTCAGGGCCATGAGGCTATATTCATCGCTGGTTGTCGCTATTATTCCCAGCCCACCTGCACTTTTGACCTCATCTGCCCTCCACATAGAATCATAGAAACTGTCTTGTTTTTGGTTTTCACATACAATAATGTTACCCTTCACCTTGGCAGGGTTTAATGTGTCTGAGACGCATGCCCTAAAACCACCACTACCATTAGTCAGTAATTAATGCGGAGTATGATCACTAGTCACTACAAACTTAAGCAGTAACAAATGACACTTGCTTCCTATAAATAAAGAGAACTATCTCAACAAGGGATGACTTTCTAATTTTAGTGGTGCCACTGTAGCGGAAATAATCTATTCTATCTATATTGAAAGGAAAAATCTGTTTGTACATGTTTTTTTATATAAGTTGTTTGTGTACACCGACAACTGCGAGAAACCTGTACAAAAAATGTTTACACCAAGCACCTCTCATAGTCAGGAATGATATATTGGACTGGGCCGATATAACAAATTTTCCCTAATAATTTCAACAAAATTGAATTTTGAAGTAGGACGGGTCTAAGGTAGCCCCTAGCTACGACCCCCGCCTTATTTTTTAATACCACATACGATTTTTGAAAATGACACTTCTTGTCCTACGGAATATTTTTTATGGGACGTAGGGACTTCATGCATTTGTAATTATATTATTTAAAAGACACACATACCTTGCGTCACTTTGGGTAGCATTATCCCATTTAACTGAAGCTCCGGTGACCAATGGGTACACTGGAGTTTTTTTGAGTTTGCTGAATTGAATGGCCGTGCCCTATTTTGCAAAGCATAGCAATTAATTAGGAAAAACACAATAATGCTGAAATGATTTTTTTTTGTAGATTTAACCACTTAACATATGTAGCCTTCTGGAGATCATGTGAAGTTTTTATCAGAATACCCTTAAGTACATACTCCCTCCGTTCCTAATTAAACTTCCTAATTTCCTATTCGTCATCCCAAAATAAACTTTCACTTTCCATTTTTGGTAAAGAATTTGTGGTTCACAACAACTCTTAGACATTTCTCTCTCCTCTTCACAACTCCCCACTATCTTGATTCCCGCATCGCACAATAACCACTATCTTAATCCTCGTGCCAAATGTGCTTTAAAAGTTAATTTAGGGACAAAGCGAGTACCACATTATCAAACTACCCCTTTTTTCTTTAAATAATAAAATCTTTTGAAATTACTTAAAACCTCTCGAGTTTTAAGATGTAAACTGTACTTCCTCGTACACTCTCTATACTCTATCTTCTTCTCTATGAAAACTCTAGACCACTCCCCGAGTCCGCTATGAAGAAGCCTTCAACTAGAAGATGAAATAAGCTGGCGACCACGAAGTTGTTAACTATAAGCTGTCAACGACGGAGCTGGCTACAAGAGGAATAAAAAAGTTGGCAATGAAGCTATTGACAACGAAGCTGCGAGGAAGCTGGTGACAGAAGGGTGTAAGCGATGGAGCCGATCATTCCTCAGCCTCGAACGAAAACACGCCATGTTTGTCTTGTTCAACCAGATTCGACAATGCTTGACATGTTTGACCAGTTTCAACCATTTCCGATCATGTTCACCAGGTTTGACCACATTCTTAAAGGTCGACCTGTTTAATCAGACGTGTTGAAACCCCTAAAAAGTTTCTTTTTTAAGGGTACCCTCAAAATGTCAAAACTGTTAAAGACTTAAAGGTAGTTTGATGGTAAAACTTTTTTATTCTATTAATAGGACTACATAACTCCTTTTTAGGGAAGACACATATTTTATCACATTTAAGATTTTTACCTATATTTTAGTCATATTTTGATCAATTTCTTTTAATATAATTTGCTAGTGTGGGCTAACCTCAATCACTTTGTTTCCTCCCAAGATGATTTGTGACCGGAAGTGGCGGTCAAGTGTGGAGGCGGCGACGGTTAGGATCCATGGAGCATCATTGACAACAGTGCTAGTGTCGGGACCACCATTCCCAGCCGAGCATATGACGATGATGCCTTTCTCCATAGCATGGAAGGAGCCAATGGCAATAGGATCTTTTGAGTAGTCTGTTTTTTCTCCATACCCTCCACCCAAAGACAATGACAGCACATTCACTCCATCCTTAATTGCATCATCGAAACCTTTTAAAATGTCTGATCCTAGGCACCCTCCGTATGCAGTACAGACTTGGTACATGGCAATTCTCGAAGTGGGGGATCCACCTTTGGCTGTCCCCGAAGCCAGCCCATAGTACGACGCGCCGTGGGCGAGGGAGCCTGCTGCCGTCGAGGCAACATGGGTTCCATGACCGTTAAGGTCCCTCGGCGACCCTTTCTTTGAGCTCCCTGAATAGTATTTAGCCCCAATGATTTTCCTGGTGATGATTAAGTTTCAAATAAAAAGTAAATTTCCCAGAAGTGGAGCCAGATTATAGCAATAATATTTTTAATTAATTGTACATAAGTTTTCTAGGTTGATTATTCTGTTTAAGTCTGATTTGGTTTGGTCTGGACTAGTTTGATATGGTCTAATACATATATGTTTTATGTATATTTTATAATTGTTGAAGTCTGGTGTATTCTAATCCGGTCTGATCTGAGACTTAAACCATTCCAATTCAAAATATTCTAAAAGTAGTTATGAAGATAAAGAGAGCTTAAAATTGTTTTTCCTTCTTTGGTAATACTTCACAAAAAAAACACACTAATATGTACAAAGTATCCTTTTACAAAAAATAGTACTCCATAATTTCTACTTATTTACAATCACTTTTATTTAAGAATACTACCAACCTTTACCTTCCCATTACATATTTTCTCTACAATCTTCAAAGTAAATCACTTTTCACTATCAACTACAAGCACAACAAAAACATTTATACAAGTGAGTGAATTTAGTAAGCATGCCAACGTGCTCACAATGAAGCAAGTTGAATGATGAACAATGAGGGTTCTCCCATCTTAAAAATGTTAAAATCTATATTAAGATATGTGATTTCATCCTAAAAGGTCAACATGGTAGGAGAATTAATCCAAAGTCTTATATAATGTTTTTTAGCTTCGAGAGGTCGGGGGCCTGGGGCAAACTAGGATCAAACTCACTTCATTGAGTATTGAAGCTGGACCTTCCATAAGGTAGAGTGAGTCGGCGACTAGCTGAGCTGGACCGCTTCCTCATATAATGTCTTATCGTTTTATAGCGTTCCGGTGTGAGACAAATACTTCAATGCGCCCCCTCAGCTCAAATCGGGCTGGATATTATCGAAGCGTATAAATGGGCCAGATAAATCCTTAACAAGCTATCCTTAATCATGAGTGCTAAACAAACAGTCAAAGCACATCCAGACTTGGCTCTGATACCATGCAAGATCTAGGGTTCCATCTTATATTTTATTGTTGGGAAAATCGCACTTTTAGTCCCTGAAATAGTCACGAAAATGAAATGTCGGACCCGTATTTCTGATATTGTAAATGTCACCCCTCAATTGTCCAAATTGTTGTAAATGTGGTCCTTTAAGGGGTGAAATGTACTCTCGCCCACATTGTAGATTTCACCCCTCAAAGGACGACATTTACAGCATTTAGGACAATTGAGGGATGACATTTACAAACTTGGGAATACGGGTCCGACATTTCATTTTCGTGACTATTTTAAGGACTAAAAGTGCGATTTTCCCTTTATTGTTTTATAGCGTTCTGGTTTGGGATAAATACTTCAAAAGTTTATGTCACTCGTCACTCATCCTGTCAACATGGTACACAATGAGCATGTTGGCGTGCTCACGATATATTTTGTTATAGATGTGTTTTCTATTATGTTCGGAGAACACTTGTGTATTTTGCATTGTAGAAGTTAACAACAGTATTTTTAAGTCGGTGTTTCAGACTTTCAGCTTAACTTTACACACTTGGAATGCTTAAAGCTGAAGACAAGAAAAAAATGCTTAATATGTTTTTCCGGTTTCTGAATTTTAAATGATGGACATTTATTAAACGGAAACATAAAAACTGGACTCTATTGACTCCACATATAAGGAGTGTATGTTTTGATCATATCTAAATGTAGAAAGAACATCAATATCATTCCTACAGACTAACCTGTTGCAAAGAGACGAATTGAAATCTTTTCCTTGCTTGCACATTCCTTTCCACTGTGTTGGGATAGGTCCCATGCCCTTGTCACTGAAACTAGCAGATTCTGGCCATATCCCTACCATATAGCCAAGTCAAACGTGTAGGTGGTTACATTTCTAGGTGTGAAACACATCATTGTTAGATTGTTTAGAAACATATGGTCAGTTGCGGAGCCAAAAATGTAGTGTTAGTGGGTCAAACATAAAATGTCAGCATATTTTTTACTATAGATTATAATTACTTGTACATACATATATGCATAAGATTTTTTTTTCTTGGAGGAACCGAGCTAGGCCCCCTCCATCTCCACCACTACATACGGTATTGCTATTTTATACATTAAAAAACCTGTATCCAAGATGCCGATGATGGTGTCTGATCTAGTGGATGATGATGATGATGATGATGATTGACCAGAGTAAGGTGATCTTAGCTTGAAATAATCTTTTTTACTGGAAAATGATTGCAAGAAATCCCATGAACGAGTTGTATGGAGGTGGATAACTGGGTCTGGGAAGACAGACACCACTCCGGGCTGTTGGGCAATGGATTGGGCTTCTTCCTCTGTCAACCGGGCCGCGAATCCTGAGAACCCATTTGTGTAGCTGTGCACCAATACCTCTCTTTTCCTGTACAAAATACATGTGTGTTTTCATAAGCACATTAGTACACTTCAATTGTGTTTTTCATTACTTTCTTCATAATGCAGGTGTCAGCAACCTGGGGATGAGCTTTAAAGTTGCATTTCTGCATTCACTTATTTGTGAAATCACATCACACTTTTTTAGCCATTTTGATCAGAATCACTCAATATTTGTCTCATGGTTTCTAGAAAACATATTGACTGTAAAAATGTTAGGTAGTCTTTCATAGCTTACATTTCACCATGGTGTAATAACCTTTGTCTTTGCTGACTAAATAGGTAAGTAATAGAAGTGAAAATAATAAAGTGATGATTTTATGGCCTAGCCAGGGAATTGGGGAGGAACTATGCTAAAGCTATGGTAGACTGGAACTCAGAGCAACTTAAGAATTATTCAAATTTTTAATGTAATATTTTCTATATTTCATATTAAGTTCACTGTTCACCCTACTAGTGTTTCTACATACCTTTTAATGACTGAGGTCATGAGGTGGGCTATGCCTGCCTCAACCTCATCATTTGACGATGAAGAGGCCACGACAGTGCCCATATAAACAATATAAACTCCGTTTTCTGTCTCTGTCTCTTCGGACGGAGGAACAGCCGCCTGAGTAGATTCTCCTATAAGAGAGAATATGAAGACAGGCGCACACAATAGCAGAAGGAAGCTCCTCATGCTAAACATGCACATAAGTTGCTAGCTAATTGCTAGTTACTACCTAAAAGGCCCCTAATAATAATGATTTTGAAGCTATATTAATGATATTCTTACTTACTGCCCACAAATTAAGTCCCTCTATGTGTGTGTATATATAGTGATGGAGCTGTATTGATGAAATTTTGGAGAATCATTATATTTAGCAACAGGTGGGCAGTATCCACCCAAAGTGGGAAGTTTCTTATCTCAATGCTCCACTTCTAGAGTGGTGGCGGGCGGAAAATATGTGATTTTTTCAGTAATAAAAAGTACTCTTGACCGTTGATAGAAAGCTCAAAGTGGCCAAAACGAGATGAGTGTTATTTTGATAGGTAATAGAAATATAGAATAAGAGAATTACCAATTACGGCCTACTAGTCATTTTAACTCGTAATAATGTCACATTTGTCTCTTTATGTAGTGGGAAAGCTAACATTATTGAGTGCATTTTCATCAAATGATTCATATATATGGGTAGGAATGTAGGATGCAAAGTCAAAATATTTTGGATGTGTATAGTATACCTCTTTTTTCACCTATGCTTTATTTCTTGGAAGGATTTTTCACAAAAACTTCAACTTTGATCAAGAATATATTATTTCTGATTTGTCTATTAACTTAAATAATTGTCTATTATTAATATTGTAATTATATTCACTCCAGATTTTATTGTCTAATTAATAAGTTTGCCATATCAAAATAGACTTCTAGTGAAAAAGATCATGTGGAGGGACATGTTCGGGTGGACTGCTTTAGTGCTCAATAATCTTAGGTGGGCAACTGGGCAAATTTTTAATTACATCGCACAATCATTGTATGTGTATTAAAAATGACGTGCTTGTTTCCACACATATGCTTAGTGTATTTTTTTTGGGATAAGGATCAGATAGGGCCTCGAACTTACAAAAAAAATGTCAAATAAGGCCTTATATAAGATGCTCTGTCCGGCCGACGCCATTGAGGCGGTTCCCGATGGAATTTTTTGATGATTTTTTTTGAGCATCTTATTCATTAAGTCTAGTTTAGTTATACCAAATTTGAACTAAAAATTCAATCGGGAAAGCATTCAAATGAATTCTTGAAGATAACTGCGCTTTTAACTGCGCAGTTATTTTCAAGAATTCATTTGAATGCCTTCCCGATTGCATTTTTTATTCAAATTTGATATGAGTAAACTAGACTTAATGAATAAGATGTTCAAAAAATTTCATCGAACAATTTCACTGATCCACCTCAAATGGCGTCGGCCGTACAGAGCATCCTATATAGGCCTTATTTGACATTTTTTTGTAAGTTCGAGACCCTATCTGACCCTTATCCCATTTTTTTTAATTATGATCTAAATAACTCGTGAGAATAATATATAATCACGTTTAACCAGACTTGTAGCCTTGATGCCTGATGGATGTATTTATAATGAAAATAGTAGAGTTCAAATTACAAGAGGATATAAATTATAGGTCTAATATAACTCTACACTAGTGTTTGTGGTCCGGTCTCAGTTCTCATTTCTTTTCTTGTGGTTGCATTTAAAGGCTTATAAGTTATATATAAGCATCTCAAAAGAGATATAAATCCATTTAAAAGCTAAAAAGAAAGGGGACGGGGTAGGGAGGGTTAAAAGAGACAAAAAGTTAAAACAACAGGATCAGACCGAACCTGGCACGAAATTGGTATGCTGGCGCCTAGGACCGGTCAGTTTGGGATCAGAACTGTCCAAGGTCCATTCCTACTTAGGAGTGAATCCGGTCCGGTCTCGGTTCCGGACCGAGACCTCCCGATCCTAAAAAAATTCGAGAAGACCAGTCTCGATCCGCTATATTTCGAGTCTTGGCTAGTTCTGGGTACCTTGGTGGTTCGGTCTCGGACCCGGTCCAAGACCTATTTATTTAACAAGTTTCAAGCTTAAAAAAAGGCCGATCTAGGACGAAACTGGGACCGGAACCTCCCAGTTCGGTCCCAAATATTGGGACCTGAGTCGGACTTGCCGGTTACCCAGCCGGGTATCCGTTCACACGGTACTAGACCTGGTTCTGGACCGGGCCGGGCCCACCCTTATGCATAGCTATGCAACCAATTAAGTGAATCGGAAAGAACTTTAGGATACATATAAGCCATGATTTGAAAATAATGATAAGACTTAATGGGACAATTAGTTCCGACAAATATATTTATAATGAATATAGAGTTCAAGTTAGAAAAGATATCTTTTCCCTAATAGGCTTATGGCATACAGTACTATACACATCCTTTAATTTGAACAGTATTAAGTTTGTTAGTTGCTACCGTTTGATACTTGTATTACGGTATAAGATTAGGTACTATACGTATAATGGAAGTAGATGTTTAGTTGACTATTCAAGATCTTATATTGTTTTTAACGATTTTCATGAACATAAAATGACATATTGCAACAAAGATTTGTTCATCATATATACGTCATAGACGGATCATAATCACAACACATTCACACCATCATATATATGACATATATGATAAATCACAATCCTCTTATTTTTTCTCATCATATGTACGTCTTCATACACGTCCTCTAATTTGGCAGTAATTGTATCTAGCTTGCCAACTCGCTAACTGTACCGAACAATGGGGGACTAAGAATATGTTTGAGAATATGTTTGAGAGTTTGAAGGGAAGGGAAGGGAAGGGAAGGGAAGGGAAGGGGAAGATTTTGAAGGTTAGTATTGGAAGAGGAGGGGAGGGAAACAGTTTGAACCACTTTTCTTGTTTGGGTGTATCAAATTTACTAACCGACATATTTTCCAGTTTTCCAGAAAACTGGTAAACAAAAAACAGGAAACGTGTTTACCAAAGAAAATTGCTAGAAAACTGGAGAAATGAAAACAGAAAAACGCGTTTTCTAAATCGTTTTCCAAAAAGAAAAAAATGAGACATATCTCTCTTTTCCTGAATGATTTGGAAAAGGGACTTTTGCTAGTTTTCCAAATTTGGAAAACGTAGATGCTACAATGCGCTGCAATGAATTTGCATACTTACACCTAATGGTGGGTCCGGTCCTGCTCCGATGTCGATTCCATTCCGGTACCTCCATCCTCGTACCTTACCCCTTACCCCTACTCTACCTACCCTATCCACCCAACCCCCACCCCGCGTACCCCTTTTCCCTACAATGACCCTACCCCACCCCGCCACATGCCCCCACCTCGGCCCCACCTGATCCACCCTACCCTACCACCACCCTCTACCACCCCGACCCACCCTACCTTACCCCCACCCCTCGTATATTACCCCTTACCCCTACCTTACCCCTTACCACATGCCCCCTACCTCTGCCCCACCCTACCGCCATCCCCCACCCCACCCTTCCCCTACCTCGGCCCCACTCTGATCCCGACCCCACCCTACCGCCATCCTACCCCAACTCCCTACCCTACCCCTACCTTACCCAACCCCAACCCTACCCACTACCCCCCTCCCTTACCCATAACCACAACCCTAACCCACCCCACTACCCCCACCTAACCCCTACCCCCAGACCTTATCACCCCACCCCCGACCCATACTCCTTACCCACCCCTACCCATACCTTCCCTACCCCGACCCCTATGAGTAGGTATGGGTGAGTATGAAGGGTTGTAGGGGAGTATGGGTAGAGTGTAAGATCGTGGTAAGGGTAGGGGTAGGGGTCAAGGGTGTGGAATTGGGTGTAAGGTGGGGGTACGAGGTATAAAGGCAGGGTAGAGGTTAGGGGTATGGGTACACGTACGAGGTGATCGACCCCACGTATTGGGAAAACAGTCAAATAGGTCCTCGAACTTTCATAAAAATGTCAAATAAGTCTTTATATAGGAGGCTCTGTCAGGTCGTCGCGATTTGGGGTGGTTGCCGGTGGAATTTGTTTATGAAATTTTGAGCATCTTATTCATCAAGTCTAGTTCACTCATACTAAATTTCAGCTAAAACTTCAAACGGGAACGCATTCAAATTAATTCTTGAAGATAACTGCGCATTTAACTGCACAGTTATCTTCAAGAATTAATTTGAATGCATTCCCGATTGAAGTTTGAGCTAAACTTTGGTATGAGTGAACTAGACTTGATTAATAAGATGCTCAAAAAATTTCATCAAAAAATTCCACCGGAAACCGCCCCAAATCACGACGGCCGGACAAAGCCTCCTACATAAGGACTTATTTGACCTTTTTATGAAAGTTCGAGGACCTATTTGACCGTTCCCCCCCACATATTATATTATATATTTGTGTTCATTAATGTTTGTGTGTCTATATATGTCTAGGGTTTTTTTTGGACATTTTAATGTTAAACGGTGTTTTAAACCTTTTGAAGTAAACATGATCTTACAACATTGCTTATTTTATGCGCCGCTTATTAACACGAGTCTTAATAAGCACCATTTAGTAACCCGTGAAGTAAACGTGTCCTCAGTCTTTTGGATGATCAAAGAACTGGGTGAAAAAATTGATGAACATGTTTTTAGATTTGAAAATGGAAAACTAAAAAATAGAAACAGAAAATTGGAGATGGAAAATTTGAAAAATAAAAGCAGAAAATTGGAGAACGAAAAACATAAGTAGAAAACAGGAAAATATCTCTGTTAGTAAACAGGCCCTAAATGTTTTGGACGAATTATAATTAAAATCACTTCACATAATATGACGAATTCAAATAATTGAGTTTATATTTATTAATAATTGAGCTAAAGTTGTCATTTAATTAGTTATCCTTCATAAAGTCCTGCGGCCGTAGTTTAGGATTCTTCTAGTTGAGTTTTTCCAGCGAAGATATGACTCTTCTTGTCCGGCGTTTATTCTTGCTGTAAGAAGGCCACACATAAAGCTTTCGTTTGGCTCTCTTTTTCTCATGATTGTTGTCAATCTTAAAGGAGACGTGAGTGCGGCTGCATCTTTTGGAATCGAATCCAAGGTTCAAGAAATGATAATCATGTCTTCTATGGAAGATCTAAAGCAACGTTGTCTCATTCCTGCAATTGAGGAGGAGATCGAAGGGTTAATTTCTGAAGAATCAACATGGGTAGAGGCTGAGCAAGGGAGAAGACAGATCGGCAGTCCGCCCTCCTCCTGAACCGCCGCCTTGGAGCGATCGAGATGCCAGG